TCAGGAGAACCTCTTCTCTGAAGAAGCTGAGCCAGGTTCTCGAAGGAAGTGTGGCCCGCCGCCCGATGCAACCGCATCATGTTGTCTTTGACTTGCCGAAGTCTGGCACCGGTCGGGGCAGTAGGTGGCAAGGAAGTTGCCGCCGCCGCAAAGATCGACTGATCGTGAGGACTTTCCATGACATAGTCCATCACCTGCTCGCCCACGTCGATGCCCTGCCGCTTGAACTCCCATCGGATGCTATCCAGGATGTCCCTCACCAGCTGCTGAGGAAACTTCACAGGACCTTTTGGGGCATCGTGATCTTTGTGGCCAGGGCACCGGCATCGACGAAGTGCTGCCGCCAACTGGGGGCTTGTCGTGATGATCCGCCATTTCTTGCCATGTGCCTCCGAGGTCTTGTAGAAGCAGCCTTCCACAATGATGTCGTAAAGCTTCCGACCACATGAAGAGGCAGCGTGCATGATGTTTCGCTCGGCCTCGCACTGTCTCCAATATCGAAGATCATAGGGCACTTCCCACGCCATCTCTCTTCCACTGGTGACTTGTTCACAGGCTCCTTGGGACAACACTCGGGCCATCTCTAAGTAGCGCCGCTGGGCTCGTTGCCGGTTTCGTTTCTGGCCCGGAGCTTCCTCGGCGCCAGGTGGAAGAGAGCCTCGCACAGCAGGGGCGAGCCAGGCAAAGGCGGGTTCATCATCACGAATCTTCGCCGCAGCCAGAGCATTCACATTCTTCCTGTCCAACATCCAGCCAGACTCTTTGTAGAGGCCCTCATAGAGGATCCCATAGGAGCCCGCAGTGTGGCCAAAATGGCCGCCAGAGTCCGCGCCATTGATCTCAAGGAGCTGGGCGTTCTCAATCGAATTCAACAAAACAGTCGTGGTGCACAAAAGGGACGCGAAGAAAGTAGTCCCTGCCGCATGCATTTGGCGCCTAACTGCGCCGGTCAAACCTCGGCTGCGTTCAGGTAGCCCGTGTTCCGGAGAGCCCGCAGCCTGATCATCACATCGGGGGTGGCGATCACCTCCGTCAAAAGTCTCAGGCTCCCGGTGGGCTGCGGCATGTTGCCGCGTCACTTGGCCCAGCTCATCTGGCTGGCGTTCTCGATCCCGTCTTCCTCGACGGCTTCCTGACCCAACGCCTCCTTGAGTCTCTGCTTCATCTGGGCCAGCTTGTTTTTCTGGTCCTGGATGGTCAGCCATGCCTCGCGCAGCTCCGACCGGTCCACCAGGGTCCTGGTACTCGTCCTTTCCGTCCTCCGAGGTGGGGACCAGCTGCTGGTGAGCCGTGCTTGAAGTGGCTTTCTCCTTTGTCTTGCTGGCCCTGCGAGCTTCGCAAGTTGGCTGTGTCGGTTGCCGAGGTGGATTCGCCGCTCGCTTTGGGGTCGTGCCGCTGGTCCTTGTTGTTGTCGTTGGCGGCGTCGACGGCATCGTCGAGGCCCGGGGTGGCTCCACGCCACACTTCTTCTCCATCTTGGTGTCCAGGACAATCTTCTCGTTGTTGCCCATTCGCCGGCCCTGCACCTCTCTGATCTTGCCATTGCAGATCCGCTCGTTCACCGCTCCAGTCGGGAACTCGGCCTCCAGCTCCTCCATCGCTTCGCGCACCACAGCATAGGTGGCCCCTCCGGACCGATCCTTCCCGTGGCCGTGCTTGATCTCGTATGACGTCCTCAGCCCGCACATCTGGCACGTAGTCCATCTCCCATATTGGTTCTGTCGGGAGCCGCTCGGGGAGTGCTTGCCGTAGCATGGGTACCCGGCCTGCCGAGGATCGTTCACAGGAGCTGGCTCGCGCGCCGCCATTTGACCAAAGCAGGCGGTGAAGGGAAAGGCGGGCACCTAAATCTCGAAGTCGCTGACACAGCTGAGGGCGCACAAATTGAATTTGACTGGCTTCTGCCGGAAGCTGAGCACCAACAAAGGAAAGATCCATGTCATCAAGGCAGACGGGCAAGCAGTCAAAGAACAACAAATCATGACATTCATGCGCAGAAGGGCTGTCAGGATGAACTTCACCAAATGGTTCTCGATTAAACAACTGCACGCTCTCAAGCTGAACTCTTGTTTCCGCACTCCGCTCCTGCGTGCTCTTGAGCTCCTCTAGGGCTCCAGGAGTGGACAAAACGTCCATCAGGCTTGCAGCAGAGAGGGGCAGCTTCACGCCATGCTCCTCTTCGGCTCTTGTTCTGTACGAAGAAAGGTCCAGCAAATGGCCAGACGCCGGAATCATCAAGTGGCCCGACTGGGTCTGGATTAGCTCAGTGGCCCAGAGGGTGTTCCCAAAGTCACGGAACCAAAGACAAAGCCTCTCATACGAGATCGTGCCGCGGGCCCTTCTGAGGAACCTGCTGCCAAGAAGAGCTGGAGTGTTCTCTGCATTGTGTGTCTGAGGTCTATGGTCACCATCCAGTACGTAAAAGTCAACTTGTCCGAGGGCGGTACCATACAATGTGACTTTAGAACAAGCTCGAAGACTAAGACCATCACCGAAACGAAACACAGGCCGGTCCTCCTGCGACACTTTGTGCTTCAAACCGCTCTTGGAGATGATGGCCTGCAAGGTCTTGACTCCAACAGCGTTCTCGGTCGCGCCGGTGTCCAGGATGAAGCCCGGCTCGCCATTTGTCATCGTCACGAAGGCGGTGTCCAGGCTCATCACCAGAGCTTGCTCCATAGAGTCTCCGGAAGCCATCTCCTTGCCAAGCTCCTTCGTCGTGTTCGTCGTGGGGAGAATCGTGCCATCGAGGGGCAGCACGGGGTCCAGAACAGAGAGCTCATCTAAGGAGAGGGCTTCCAGGTCCTTCTTCGTACGGAGAATCGTGTCGTTGGTGAACACGTCGGGCTCAAGGAAAGGCAGCTCGTCCGGGACGCCGGCTTCCACCGCCATGTTCGTGCGGAGAATCGGCTCCAGGGGCTGCTCCACGGGATCCGGCTCGGTGAGGCACGCCATCTCCGACTCCAACATGTCGCTCTCCGGGGCGACGGTCAGCCCGAAGTACATGTGGAACACGGGCTCGGCGTACATCCCGGCCTTCTTCCCGAACCCTTTTTGCGGGCAGTCACGAAAGAAATGCCCAGAGCGGCCGCAGATCAAGCAGCCGCCGCCTTTGCCAGACGACTTGGAGGATCCCCACTTGTGCTTGGACTTGGAAGCTCCAGCCTTGTATCCACCCTTGGCGCCCTTGCCGGAAGAAACAGAAGCACCTTTCTTGCCGCCCTTGCCTTTTAAGGGGTAGTATCCTCGGGCAGCCCGGACCTTTTGCACTGCCAGTCGAGCTTCTTGCAAGGTTCGGGCAGCTTCGGCAGCCAAAGCGGAGGCTTCCTGCTCCTGCACCATCGCCGCTTCCTCCTCGCCGTCGGGGTCGTCGGCCGCCGCCTCATCTGCCGCAGCTTCCATTAACTCCTCGGGATAGTGGTCCCACGACTCCTCCCAAGGCCACTCCGACCAATACGCTTGCTCATCTTCCCAGCCTTGGTCGTACCAACCCCAGCCTGAGTCCAGGCCAGATTGCCAGCAGGCATCCTCCTCCTCAGCGTCTTCCGCAAACCAGAGGTTCTTGCGACGATTTCCACGGCTTCCTGGATCAGAGTCATCGAAGAGAGCTCTGAGGGCTTGGCGTACCTTCTCGAAGGCAACGGCATTCGAGGTCAGCGTCAGCACTTGCATCCTCTGGTCGTTGGTTAGCCCCGCCGCCTTCAGAAGTCGGAAGCCCCGAAGCTCGTCCTCGAAGAAGCCCAGGCCAACGTCGCTCGCCTCCGGGTCCACAGGCACAGTGCTCGGCTCAGCGTCTGCCTGGGGCGACTCTTCCGCCGCCTCCTTCTCCGCAGCTTTTTGGGTCGCTGCTGGCGCCGAGCTTGGGGAAGCCGGAGTCGAAGCAGGTTTCCTTGAAGGAGCTGCCGCTCCGAAGCCACTTGTACTCGTCCTTGCCCTGGATCGGCGCAAGCTCGTCTGGAGTTCCCGGAACAAATCATCCTCCCTGACAATTAACTCAGGAATACTTTCACTTTCCTTCCTCCGAAGCTGGTGCCATCGTTCCAATTTCGAGAAGCTGTCAGGGATAGGCAGCGTCTGCAGAGGAGAGCTCCGAAGAACACAAAGGAGTTTCGCCAAGCCACCTGACGTCGAACTCGTCCGGGGACAGGTGTTTGACCACGCTCTTGGCCAGTCCGGTCAGTCTCGACCAAACCCGTGCCGCTGCTCCACGCCTTTCAGTGTCCTTCAACGTCTTCTCATACCATTGGCACGCCACCTCAAACGTTTGGAAGGTTCCAGGATCTCCGTCCCACGTGGGCACATCATAGTCGGTCTTCATCACGATCAGCAGCTCGCGGGCGCACCAGGTGCTCCGCTGCCATGTGCTGGCCAGGGGCCCGTGACAAACAAGGCTCTACAGCCTACACAGAAGAGCGCTCCATTTTAGCTCCAAGCTTGGGTCCCGCCCTGCGGTCGAACAGTCAGTCTCTGCACAAGAACTTCACATGCACAACGGACTCTCACACAGGGCACTTCTCCGCATGAAGGCCTGCAGTTAGTCATTCTTTGACACAAAAGCTGGCCTTTTCATAGAAGCCCGAGTGGCCAACTACCCCTTCCCGGGCTATGTGCGCCTTTTGCATTCCTTTCGCGTGTCTTTCTCTGCAACATCTGCCCCGAAAGCGATTTGATGGACATGGATGGACGGTAACACTGATGATGACTGCACTAGTACTGGCGGCATTTCTGTACTGAGAGTTGCTGGACTTGCCACATTGCAGCAAGTGCCCGCACGTATTTTCTTAGAAAGGTTTGGCCGTGAAAGCCAGAACAATCCTGTCAAGAAGTGGCCGTATGCGCGCGCAACGGTCCAGCTATGCCA